TATATATATCCTGTTTCAAGATTTACCCTGTTAGAAAAGTTGATGGTTATCACACCGTGTACATTTGCTTATCTATGATATTGGGGGGAAAAAGCAACTTGATGGAGAGTCTCTCCTTTTTTTGAGTTAGTTTTAAAGGAAAGACTTTTTACACAAAGTTCCAGTAACAAAATGGTTTCGAGTTTCAATTTATTCGACCAACAATGAGCCTTCGATTTTCATTCCTTTAAAGTTCATTCTGACTGATAATAATAGGAATTCTGTGTATTTTGACACCATCTTCTTTATTCATTTGTTGTATTTATGACCCATTGGTGCCTTTTAATTATTATTTATTAATATTTATTTCTCTTTGTGTCCTGATTGGTGGAGACTTGAGCACTTTTATTTTATTCAATTTTATTTTTATCACGTTTTAATGTGTATTGTTTTTATTTCTCAGCCTGTTTTTACTTTGTTTCATGTTACATTGTTTTGTCATTTGTCTGTTGAGTGGATGTCACTATCTTGCTGCAAAACAAATCTACCTACGAGTATAAATAAAGTAACCTGAGCCTTTTCTGAATCACAAATATTTTTACTTCCTCTCATCTGATGTGTTAGTTAAGTCTGTAGTTTGGAGATAAATTTGTCTCAATATTACTATTTATCTGTAAATATAAAACACCTTCCACAAATACAAAACAAAATTGTAAAATCAAAAAACTATTTTGTAAATATAAAACGGATTTGCAAATATGCAAATTTGCAAAAATATATATTAAAAAAATCTGTGAATATATTGAATTCATTTACAAATAAATTTAAAAAAGCATTTGTGAATTTCTTAACATTTAAAACTTTCGATATTACAGATACAGATATTTGTGAATCCAGTTTTTGTTTGTTCATCTTAGTTTTACGCTTGAAGATTTATATTTTATGCACCGTCAAATATATTGCTGAGTTCTTTCTGTGTCTTGTATTTGCGGATCTTTTTTATATTTGTAAAATATTTTTGTGTGCTTATAAATCTTTTTTTTTTTTTTTTGTATTTGTGGAAGGTGTTTTACATTTACAGATGACACATTGACACACAGGTTGTGGATCTGTTCACACAAATAATACTGAGACNATTTACGTATGTATGTATGTATGTACATACATACACACACACACACACACACATATATATATATATGTATATGTGTATATATATATATATATAAAATTGTACTTTACTTAAGTATTTCCATTTTCCACCACATCTCAGAGGGAAATATTTTACTCTTACCCCGCTACATGTCTTTGATAACTTTGCAGATTCAGATTAACAATACAAATTAAATATAATGTGTTATTACAGGTCATAATTTACGAAGAGGGGGGTTCACAAGCTAGTTAGCGGTGTATAACGTAGTCAGGTAGTGCAGAGTATTTTTATGGTGTAGTATTTTTACTTGAGAGTATTTGTTCCAGCACTGCCTCATCGGGACAAACATGACATAGCCAAAAACACCAGACGTTAACGTTAACGTTAGCTAACCGAGCTAACTTCATACACACACACACACTCACCTGGTAACGTTAGCTAGCTTCACTCAACAGATCTTCTTCACCGTCTGTCCTCCTCCGAGCAGGAGCCGTACCGGGCCGGTCAAACCTGTTTTAGAGTCCTGACGGTAACCGACAGACCGACTGTCATCTCTCCAGCTGCTGCCTGGATACTGAGAGCGGCAGCTAGCTAACGTTAGGTGGGTTAACGTTACCGCCACTGTTGCGCAATGACTCAAAATACAGATCGGTCCTCTAGATGACGTTAAAGACAGAGACGGTAACCGGCTGACATCGTCTCTGGGTATTATCCGAACAAGTCCAGCGGAGTGTCGGGACTCAGCTGACCGGAGACAGGGCTGTTTGTGAGGGGGAGAAAATCTCCATCTGAGCTTTGTTTGTTTGGGTGGGAACCAAAGAGGCGGCACACAGCGGTTTCCACAGACGGAAGTGCCCGGATTTAATGAGACAATTACCGGAAGTATAGTGTGGAATAAATCTTTCATTTATTTATTTATTTATTTGAATTGTATTTACGATCAACAAGGCACGTCATATGACATTTAAATACAGTTTGAAATATGATTAAAACTGTACTAAACTGCAAAGAATAAATAAATAATAATGACGGATAAAAAAACAAAAAACGAAATTAAAAACAAAATACAAGTGGTGATTTCAGAAATAATGTACGCAGATATTCATATAGATGTGTTTTTATCCTTTTTACAAATGGTATTGAACAGATTTGATACATATAGTATGTACATTCCAGACTTTCACTATAAAGGTTGTAGAAAATGTAATTCTATATAAATATATAAAACATATAAAACATAATGTAACAATTAGAAAAAAAATATAAAAATAAGGTTCTGATAAACAGTTGAAATAAAACTGAAATGTTTAAATAATCTAATCACTTTTAATTATTTATCATTTTTGAGCTTAGTCAACTTAGAACAGTTGTGAGGTATTTTTGAAAATTGGTATCTTTGTATCTTTGATGTTTTATTGTCACTTTGTTTTTACTTACTTTCTAGTTTTTCATGACTTTGTGGTTGTTTTGTGTCACGTTGTGGTTGTTTGTGTCACTTTGTAGTTGTTTTGTTTCACGTTGTGGTTGTTTTGTGGTTGTTTGTGTCACGTTGTAGTTGTTTTGTGTCACATTGTGGCTGTTTGTGTCACGTTGTAGTTGTTTTGTGTCACATTGTGATTGTTTTGTGGTTGTTTGTTTCAGGTTGTAGTTGTTTGTGTCACGTTGTAGTTGTTTTGTGGTTATTTGTGTCACTTTGTGATTGTTTTGTGTTACGTTGTAGTTGTTTTGTTTCACATTGTGGTTGTTTTGTGGTTGTTTTGTGGTTATTTGTGTCACATTGTAGTTGTTTTGTGTCACGTTGTGGCTGTTTGTGTCACGTTGTGGTTGTTTTGTGGTTGTTTGTGTCAGGTTGTAGTTGTTTTGTGTCACATTGTGATTGTTTTGTGGTTGTTTGTGTCAGGCTGTAGTTGTTTTGTGTCATGTTGTAGTTGTTTTGTGGTTGTTTTTGTCACTTTGTAGTTGTTTTGTGTCACGTGGTTGTTTTGTGGTTGTTTGTGTCATGTTGTAGTTGTTTTGTGTGATGTTGTAGTTGTTTTGTGGTTGTTTTTGTCACGTAGTTGTTTTGTGTCACATTGTGGCTGTTTGTGTCACGTTGTAGTTGTTTTGTGGCTGTTTGTGTCACGTTGTAGTTGTTTTGTGTCACATTGTGAATGTTTTGTGGTTGTTTGTGTCAGGTTGTAGTTGTTTTGTATCACGTTGTGGTTGTTTGTGTCAGGTTGTAGTTGTTTTGTGTCATGTTGTGATTGTTTGTGTCAGGTTGTAGTTGTTTTGTATCACGTTGTGGTTGTTTGTGTCACGTTGTAGTTGTTCTGTGTCACATAGTTGTTTTGTGGTTGTTTGTGTCACTTTGTGCTTATTTTGTGTCACGTTGTAGTTGTTTTGTGGTTGTTTGTGTCATGTTGTAGTTGTTTTGTGGTTGTTTGTGTCCCTTTTGATTGTTTTGTCACTTTGTTGTTGTTTTGTGTCATGTTGTGGTTGTTTGTGTCACGTAATTGTTTTGTGTCACGTTGTAGTTGTTCTGTGTCACGTAATTGTTTTGTGTCACGTTGTGGTTTTGTGGTTGTTTGTGTCACTTTGTAGTTGTTTTGTGTCCCTTTTGGTTGTTTTTGTCACTTTGTGGTTATTTTGTATCACCATGTTGTTGTTTTGTGTCACTTTGTAGTTGTTTTGTATTCATCTGTGTTTGTTTTGTATTCGTCTGGGATTGTTTTGGTCACTGTATTTTTTTGTGTCACTTTGTCATTATTGCATTTAATCACTTTGTAGTTGTTTTGTGTCACTTTGTAGTTGTTTGTGTCACTTTGTGGTTGTTTCGTATTCGTCTGTGGTTGTTTTGGTCACTTTTTATTTTTTTGTGTCACTTTGTCATTATTGCATTTTGTCACTTTGTAGTTGTTTTGTGTCACTTTGTAGTTGTTTGTGTGACTGTTCCTTTATGTCACTTTGTGGTCAGTTTGTGTTACTTATATGTCTCATGTCACTTTATTTATTTGCGTGACTTTGCTTAATGTATAATTCTATCATCAAAAGAACATTCAAGAAATGAGCAAAAATAAAGATTCATTTACATTTTTGGATACAGTCTATATTGATAACCATATGATATACACACCATGTAGTGCTGATATGATTAATCGATTTCATGATCGACAGAAAACAAACAACAGTTCTTATAATACAGTAATTTTGCACGCAGCTACAAGAACCTGATTGGTCAAACTGTTACCGACGCCTCTGAAGCTGCAGCTGTGATTGGTTCAGGACTCATGAGCTCCACCAGTCCCACACACACACACACACACACACACACACGGAGCCAGAGAGGAGCTAACATGGCGGAAGCAGAAGTCAGCGAGTTAAGTTCTGGAGGTATTTTCCAAGAAATCTTCACCTCCCCGCTGAATTTGACCCTCCTCAGCCTCTGTCTCTTCCTCCTCTACAAGATCTTCCGCGGGGACAAACCACCGGAGCTCGGTGAGGCGGACAAACCGCTGCCAAAACTGAAGAAGCGAGATTTCACCATCGCAGAGTTGAAGCCCTACGATGGACTCCAGGACCCGAGGATCCTCATGGCTGTCAACGGGAAAGTGTTCGACGTCACCAGAGGGAAGAAGTTTTACGGGCCAGGTAAAAACCCACCGTGAACCGGCGGTCCCGTTACGGTGGTACGAGCTGTTCTGTCGTTTCTCCTGGGATTTGAACGCACCATCACCAACGGCTGCTCGCGCGAGGAGACCGTTGGCTGTGATAGGATATTTTATTCATACATTAATCAGGATCTTTTCGACATTACAACCAAATACAACTGGTTAAAATGGAGTCTTGTTACTGGAAGCTAACGTCACACCCCCCGTTAGTTAGCGAGCTCAGATCCCGTTTCACAACACAGTAGCTGCTGTAGCCTTGGGACCAAAGATCGTCTATGAACTAAGATGAGGTACTACATAGTGAAAAACCATAACCCGGCAGCCGCCATGTTTTATTAAGATTTTTTTAATTAACCATGTGAACGGGTAATGTACAAATAGAAAGCAGATATCAGATACTTACCATCTTCCAGGGTGCAGTGACACAACACCAGAGATACAAAAACACACAGACATAAGTAAATAAACTTATAAACAATAATAATAATAATAATAATAAAACAAATTTACGTGCTTTACACGGTTGATCCCGGATCAAAAACAATGCCAAGCAAATAAAATGAGGCAATTTTAAGAAAATACAAAGAACAAAAAAATAAAGAAAGTGCTGTCACTGAAGCAGATCAGCAAAGATTGCAACTAATTGCCCTATAAATTGCGCTGAGGTACAGCAAATCAAACTATTAGAGTACAGTAATACAAAATAAAAGAATACAATAACTGATGACAACACAAGATAGAAATAATCAAATGAGACACAAAACAGCAGTGTGTGAAAACTAATAAAATGCTTTTTTGAACAGATACATTTTAAGAAGCGATTAAAAACATGTCACTGATTCAGCCTCAGATCCTCTGACAGGGAGCTCCACAGGTGAAGGGCCTCAACTGCAAAAGCTGAGGTGTAGATGAAAAGTTAGAAGCATTTATGCTCAGTTAAAAGAAATAAGGCACAAACAACATAAAGGTGGAAGACGGTTCAAGTTTGCACAAACATTAAAAGATATAATAAGGCTGAATAAGTGATTTTAAAATATTTATTCATTACTGATTCATTTATAGAGGTTTTTTTCTTTGCACATTTGGAGTTTATTAATTTAAAGGACTTGGTGGAAAGTTGAATCTCATTATAGTAGCCAATAAAGACAGGTGGGTGTTAATACATTTTAGCTTAGTGAATAAAAAGAAGTTTGGCTAAAAGAAGTAGGTAATTCAGGTCTGTTAATAACGCACCAAGATGAAAACTCTTTTGATCTAAATCAGCATCATTGTGGTTTTCCAACTCAACTATTCTCTAAATTGTTTCCAGAAAATCTGTGTTTGAGACATAGAGAGATGTTACGTTGTTTAATATCACCTGCAGAGAACACACACGTTGTTCCCAAAACCAAATCTCAGTCTTAAAAATTAATTTGAAGGGTAAAAATTATTCATTATTTTGTCGTCGATTTCTTTTGATTAGGGTGGAAAAATTTAAAAAATTTAATTATTTAAATGATTCAGGTTCATTATTTTCTCCACATTTTATTTTTATGTTGTGCAACCGAATTTATTTTTCCATTATTTTTAAATTCTAAATTGTATTTTCCACAACTTTTATAGTGACAGTCTGGAATGTGCATATTATGTGTATCAAACATATTCACTAAAATTTGTACAAAAAAAATCCAAATCAAACATAAAACAAATGACAATTATAAAGATTTCACCAGAGTAAATGTGTTGTAACTTTTCCATCATCTCCACTTACCTAAAATAAGAATCTGCCCGTCATGCTTCATTTCTGTTCCCTGGAAACAGACGCAGAGTGAGACCTCACTGTTGTTTTATCTTATCTCAGATTGTAACCTCTGTGGCGTGTAACCTCTGGCCAACATAGTATCTTACTCTCATGCAAACTGCACGCCCAGCCCTACAGCCTGTACTCCTGCCTGCGGTCTGTGTTATTAAAAGAATTCAGCTGATTTAAAGTTTGTCCTCAGACAGATCTTGCTATGATGTCACTCATGGATCCTGCAGGTTGTCAAACTTTGAACATTTAGGGCTGCGTGTTGTTTCAAAGTTCTGGCACAGATATAGAAATAACCCAACAATGCCTTTTTTCCCCTTAAATGTTAAATTCTGTCTCAGCACAGACTGCACAAGAACTCTGAACTAAAATACAGTCTATAAA